ACGGCGCTCCCGGAAAAGTATTCGTCATTAGCCAAACGCAAGCCGACCTTGGAAACGAAGAAGGCCTAGAAGGGGAAAACCCAATCCCTGAAGACGAGGACCATACGGACCCCGCCGAAGAAAACCCCGAAAGCGAATTCTGTCTAGGTTAAGCCATCACCCCCTTGTAACCGCCCCCTGTATCGTATAGACCACTTATTTAGTTTAATTACTTCGGAAACATTATGTCTACTTAGCCTAGCTATTTAGAAAGTATTATGAATAAAGATTTCTTTCCCCACTAAAAGACGAAATAAGGAAAAAGACAAAGGGAGACTACACCACCAAGCAATACCCATTAGGAATTGAACTCTAGACCTCCCATTTACAAGTCCAAACCCTTAACCACTAGCCCATATGTGTTTCTTCAAACCACAAGGGAACACCCTCTTAATAAACCCCTCCAAATCCCTAAAACCCATAAAATCCCCAAATCATAAACCCTCCTCCTTCTTCCCCAAATCACCCAACCTCTCTCTCTTCTCTCTCACGACCCCCCCCCCCCCCCCCTAAGACCTCGCCGGTCGACCACCACAAATGCACCACAACCCGCGACGCCGCCGCCAGCCGGACGCCGTCGCCACCCGGCCACTCCCCGACGGCATCACACCACCGCGCTGCCGCCCAAACCGCCCCACCGGGGACCACCCGCGACGCCAGCCCACCAGCCGCCCGAGCCTCGCCCGCTGCCGCATGCCACGCGACGCCACCACCACGCCATCTCGCCTCCCACCGAGTCGCCACCTAAACCCCTTCCCACCGTCGCCGCCCTCGCCAGAAAAAGGGGCGTCGCCGGAAAAGGCTCGCCGGAGAACCTGCCGGAAAAATCGCCGCCGTCTCGCCGGAAAACGTCGCCATCAAACGAACGTCACAATGCCAAAGAACCCCCTCGGAATCCGTACCCCGGAATGGAGCAACGCCGATTACACCGTAATCGGAGGTAAAGCACTCGAACCCGAACAATTTTCTCCGGAATTGGTTGATATGCTTAAATACCAAGGCCTTTTAGATACTTACCTCGCCATCAAAGGGGACACATACCCCGAATTGGTGAAAGAATTCTACCAACACCTTGTGGCCACCAAACGGGGCGACAAAGTAGAAGTGACCACCAAGGTCCGTGGCAAGGAAATTGTGGTTTCCGAAGGCCGGTTGGCCAAGCTCTTGAAATTGACCACCACGGGTGTGTCTAACTATGACCGAAAGGGGTGGATTGATACCCAAACTACGGGATACAAGGACTATCTCGGGTACTTACTCGGGAAAGAGGACGGGTTCACCTCGGCCACTCGACCCAACCGAAAGTGGCTATCGGCGGAGCAAAAGATATTGGTTATGATTATAACCGATAGCCTCTTCCCCACCAATAACAAGAGCAAGGATGTGGGGAGCTTGGAGTGCACCTTTGCGTATCTCCTAAAACATAAAATCAAGTTCAACCTGCCGGCACTCATGCTAAAGCACATAGAGTTCTGCAAACAAGCAACCGGCTTAGCCTACCTTACGGGATGATCCTAAGTTGGATCATGGAGAAAAAGGGGGTAGACCTAAGCCACACCGAAGTCAAGACCGCCAATGGCATGGTTTTCAATGCCCAAAACCTCCGCCGCAACGACATCTACTACATCGAAGGAGGGCACTATCTCACCCTCGAAGAAATTTGCCAAAAACCCGACGAGGAACGTAGGGAATTGGTTGATCGGTTGGACATCTCCAACAAAAAGCTCAAGCGGGCCATGCAAGATTGCGGAGGCACGGAAGAAAATGAAGGACAAGAGGAGGAAGACGGGCCTAACCCGTCAGTGCACCCACAGCCAGGAGGGAACCCGAGGGGACAAGACGAGGGTTCAGTCAACGAACGCATACTCGCACAGCTCGACCGACAGAATCAAATCATGGAAGAAGGGTTCTCATCCCTGATCCGCACCACACACGCACTCGACCAAAGGGTAGCAGCGATCGAGGCCGCCTTGGGCACTCGCGGTGCACCCAGTTCCAGCGCAGGAAACCGAGGTACAACCGAAAACTTCCCTATCATAACACCATCAGAAGTTCAGCCTACCCCAAGCCAAGACAAACGTAAGGCCGCAACCCTAAACAGGAGGCCAAGCTACGAGGTGTCTAGGGGTGAAAGGGTGGACTATAACACCGGGCTTCGGGGACGAAGCCCCTTGTAAGGGGGGGAGAGTGTAACACCCCGTGTTACGGCCCCTAAAACCATTTAATTAATTAATCAGTAACCCAAGAGAAAGAATAAATTATAATTAATTAGGGAAAAAGGCCCACCATAGTCCATGGGCCCTCATGTATAAACCCAACCCCTAAACCCAATCCTTAGTTCCAAAAGGAATAGAATTAGCGAGCCTATAATATTAGTTCCTAATTAGGACTCCTAAATATATATATAGGGGACTTAAGAGGAACCTAGAACTCCCCACATGATTAACGCCCACCACCCCAAAAAGAGCTCCAAGAATTCCCTTAGGAGAAATCAAGAAAGCAAGGAAGCTTAAAGAAAGATCCTTCATAGCCAAGGAATTAATTAAGGCTAAGAGGTAACCCATGTCTCAACAAAACCTATTTTCATAGCTATGATTTCCCCTTAGGGTTTCCCCCGTATGATTGTGAATGGCGAATTACTATGATTATTATTGATGTTGATTTAATGATTCCATGGGGAATCTTGGTAATCTTGATATTGGGAGCTTCTTGATAATTGGGATGTTCTTGATGATTGATTGGGATTCTTGATGATGATGTGCTGTTCTTGATGATTATGTTGTTCTTGATGATTAATTGCTATCCTTGATGATATGTGTTGTTCCTACCGAATCTTGCAATTAGAAGACGAATCGTATTCTTGTGGATATAAAAGTGATTAGAACCCTAGGTTGTATCGTATGATCTTATTCTTGGATTATCGGGTGGGAAATCGCATGTTTGGGTGTTGATTATGATTAGAAAAGCATGTTAGGTTATGTGCCGTTCGTCTATCGTAATTGATCCGTTAATTGTCTATGTGTTGTTGTTAATTACGTTGAAAAGTGTCTAAGCATGGTTTCGGGTTCCACAACGGTTCCCGGGGCGAAAAGTGATGAAAAGAGTCAGTGGGGGGTAGGTGGGGGGTAGGGGACCCACCACCTACCCGCGGCAATTCGGGCAGCTCCGGCAGCGGGCAGCCGGCGGGCGGGCAGTTGCCCGCCGGGCACCCGCTGCCCGGAAAAGTGTCAGCCGGCGGATGGACCCCCACCCACCGGCTACCCGCTGGAATTTCTCCCACCTCGGGACCCCGGCTTCCCCGTTTGATGTTTCCCCGATCCCCGTGGTGTCCCAACGGACCCCGTTTGTCGTGCCTATGTCTAGTTTGATGTTTCGGGTACCGTTCGTAGGTTTACGAGTCTGTTATATCGCATGCTAGATGAATTGGTATCCCGTTGACCTAGGTGAAGGAAGTATGAACCCCCTTAGGACTATTCTTAGTATGTGATGGATCACGCATAGGTTTGTTATACGCCTTATTCCCCTTCCCAATGTGTAACGTGGGTTGCATGTGCTTGCTATGTGTTATGTGTGTGTGCTACTCCAATTCGGTTGCGATCGGATTGGTTATCCTGAGCTACGGTTCAGAAGCTGGCTGCGGTCAGATTAGTATTCCTGGTTGCGGTCAGATGACATTCTCTTGGGCTGCGGTCCACCGTTTGGTTGCGATCAAACGTTTCTATACGAGCTGCGGTTCGTCCTTTATCCTGGCTGCGGTCAGATGACACTCTCTTGGGCTGCGGTCCACTGTTTGGTTGCGATCAAACATTATGATGAGCTGCGGTTCATTGGTCGGTTGCGATCGACCTCCCCGTGTTGCGATGCGGGGCATGGTGCTGCGGGGCTGTGTCAGAGCTATATGCGCTGACCCTCATGTATGGGCATGCGATCGGTCCTGTGGCGCCAACAATGTGCGTTATGTGTCTGATATGGACGAGTTGTGATTATGAGTGCCTTGGGATGTGACTATGGGATTTATATTGGGGATTGTTTATGATGGGTTGTTATTATTGTTTATGCTTTGCCTTATCTGCCTTATCTATTGTGAACTGCATATGCTCGTTATAACTATTGCTTGTGTCTGACCTTATCTGTCGAGTCATTCCCGGTTTTAAAAGCTAGAGTTCGTAGGATATATCTTCATGCTCACAATGGTTTTCGTATATCTATATATATCTCTATATGTATTGTATTTCAACGCGTTGGAGTGGGTTACCAGCATCTCTCGCTGAACAGATATATTTGGCTTTCAGGCACAGAGGATTAGAGCACTGGAGCGCGCTAGAACTGGAGCGTAGAAGTAGTGTAGCTTCCCTTTCGGCCTGCGTGCCATGTTATGCATTTATATTTCGAAGAATAGTAGTTAGACAGCCTGTGCACCTGGGTTCTCTAGCCCGGGTGTGGCATAGCACCCCATACACTTATGTTACGCTTTGGGATTTAATGAGATATTACCTTTAATATCTAAGCTTTTAATTGTCTTGAAAATCTGGGGTGTTACACGCACCCTGGCAATTCCATACGAGAAAAATCATTAAACAATAGACAAAGGGTAAGGAAGGCGCCTAATGGCGCATGCGGGAATCCACATCTGGACCATAATGGTCAACACCACGTTCATCTATACGCAACGCCAAATCTGGAGGGGCCGCCAATAGTTCAGGGGTCCTTGTTATATCAGGTGGTACTTCTTTGAAGTTTTTCCCAAATATGACCATGGGATAGCTGCAGTGTGCAATAGGTTGCAAAGTCGAAGCCTGTTCCATATCAGGTGGAACCTCCATAAAGGTGTTTTCGAATGTAGCATGCATTGGTGAGTCTGGGTGTACATCAGTGTGGTGGACTGTGGTACTTTCAATAATCGCTCCCCTTCTAAAACCTCGAACGACAGTGTGTTCTGTTGCAGCTGCCGCTCGATTGGGTTAAAAGCCTCTCCCCCCTCGATCTCTATAGGCCCCACGCCCAGACGGTGGAGGCTGTCTGGGGGGTGGTGGTTGTCTTCCAGGGCCAGGTTCGACCACCTCATTAAGGACTACGTTCTGTCTCGTCCCCCGATAGTTAGTTCTTATTCTTGGGAGGTTAGGCTGTTGAGGAGGAGATAGAATGGCTCGCTCTTGCTGATTCTGCGCACCTGCTGGATCCTCGAGATCATACAAGGCTCCAAACTGGGAATGAGTTGCTACGTTTTCCTGTAATGATTCCCCATTGGGCTGAACAACATTCTGCCTGCCTCTCCCTGTATTTGCGTTGGATTGGTTCTGCGACTTTTGCTGGTTTCTTCTGTTGTTTCTGGTAACCAACATCCAAGCCCCATATTTCTCCTTAGGTTTCTGAATAGGTCTTTCCAAACCTGGTTGAGCTTCAGCAGTTCCAGAGGGTGTTCCATTGATTGTCGTCCCAGTTTGATCTTTGCCACACATCTCAATTCGGTGGCCATAGATTCCACATTTGAAGCAGATTTGATGGATGCCTTGATATTCAATTGGCCATTCCTCTGAGTTCAAGACGAACCTAGATAAAAGAGGTTTAGTAATGTCCAGTTCAATACAAGCCCTTGCAAATTTTCCTTTTGAGACTAGGTTTGTCGCATAGTCAATCTTTACAGGACGACCGATCACTTTCCCAATCTTCTTTATGAAATCATCATCAAAGTATTCTATCGGCAAGGACGGAAATCTTACCCATGCCAAGATTGAATCAGTTTTGTTCTTTCTTGGATTAAAATTGGGTCTCCATTCTTGAGCTATCAAGTAATGGTCCAAGACCATCCACGGACCCCCAAATTTAGCTGTCTCATAGTCGGACAGAGCATCAAATTTTGCCAAGAAATAATCCTGATCTAATGTTATCAACTGAAAGCCCGACTCGGGATTCCACATGCGTTGAAGACGTTGAAGCAGGTAAGAATAGCTTACCGTTCGTCCCAGGAGTCGGAGAATTAGGGATCTACGCCATGGGCGACGAAGCCTCTACTTTTCTTCCTTTGTTACCCGAATGATTGGATAATCGTAGGTGACGCCATCTTGTTCCATATCATCATCAAATGCTTCCTCATCTTCCTGGGGTTGGTGTAACACCCCAGATTTTCAAGACATTTAAAACTTATAGAATAAAGGTGAAATCTCCTTAAATCCCAAAACATAATACAAGAGTACGGGGTGCTATGCCACACCTGAGCTAGAGAACTCAGGTGCACAGGCTAACTAACTAATTTCCTCAATAATGTAAATGCATAAACATGGCACGCAGGCCGAAAGGGAAACTATCTACTTCTACGTTTCAAGTTCTAGCGCGCTCCAGTGACTTATTCTTCTGTGCCTGAAAGCCAAATATATCTGTTCAGCGAGAGATGCTGGTAACCCACTCCAACGCGTTGAAATACAATACATATAGATATATATATATAGATATATGAAAAGTCATTTTGAACATGAGGATATCTCCTACGAACTCTAGCTTTTAAAACAGGGATAGACTCAACAGATAGGGCTAAGCACAGGCAGCAGTTATACCGAGCATATACAGTTTACAACAGGCAAGACAGATAAGATAAGCACAATTAATAATCATAACCCAACATATACAATCCCCGGTATAAATCTCATAGTCTCATCCCCAATTCACTCATAACAACAACTCATCCATACTTCATCACATAGCACACTTTGTTGGCGCCACAGGACCAATCGCATGCCCATACATGAGGATCAGCGCATATAGCTCTGACACGGCACCTCAGCACCCTGCCCCGTCTCACAGCACGGAGGGGTCGATCGCAACCGACCGATGATGTAATACCCAGTTATTTTTTACGTATTATTTTGACATAGATATTATTTTAACCAAAACTATATTATTTTATGAGATCCAAAACTATTTGAAACTAGTCTACTATTATGTATTATTGTGTGATTATTACTATTTCTTAAGATCATATTACTAATATGGTATAACAACTAATTTAAATCCTAAAACTAGAGTTATTAAGTCGTAATGCAAGTTTATATATTAGATAAACTTAAAGTTTGAGTATATATATATATATATATATATATATATATATATATACATATATATATATATGTTAGCTCCGTATAGCTGTAGTCTTAATATATATGCATGTTACATATTTTAGTTCGTATATAACTTAATATCTATATTATTACTAAACCTTATTATATTAAGCTTTTAAGTATTTTAGTTCCCTACAACTAGAATTATTATTTATAATATAAGCTATTAGTTAAGTATTTAAGTAGGAGTCTAATTGTTCCCATCCTCATCAGTAGCTGATTCATTAAATCCTCCCCTTCATCATAATCAGTAGTCGATATTCTCATCGTTTTCCTTTTTCCCAATATCACCGAAAACAAAATTAAAGAGAAAAATATACATAGCTGTCTTTTTTGTCATCGGTCTTCTTCTGTTATCATCTGGCTCTGTTCATTGTAGGATTTCATTCAAGGGTTTTGTTGATTTTGGATTTCAGGTAAGATTTTATGTTCACCAAAAATTACCTTTTTCTCGTAAATATTTTACGTTGTGTGAATATGAGTATGATATCTATGATGTGAGTTATAATGTTTATGTGATCACAAGTGGATTGTAATGTTGTGAGTAGTGATTCTCGAGCTATCGAGAATGGGCTTCGACGTGTCGAGCCCTGTGTGTGTAAATCGTTGGCTTGGAAAATTTTGGTGTATATACACGTGGTGAAATTTGTATTACCTTTGTATTGTTGAGTAAAAATGATTTTGGACAAATCATGTGGAGAGAATCATATTTTGAAAGAAATTATATTTTTTAGAAAAGTTTATAAGGAGAAAATTATATATTCTGGAGAAAATTGTATTTTTGTGGAGAAAGTGTTTATCATTGGAGAAATAATATGATTTTAGGGAAATCATTAAATTGTGAGTGTTCAGTAAATGTGAGTACTGTTCACTGGGACTAATTACTACTCATTGGGCTTGGAATCCCATGAGGGTGTAACACATAGGTTATGATCCAGTTTCCAAATTGTTTGTGTGGTAGCAGGCAGGAAAACCTGACTACTTGGATCATATACTACCCAGTGGCTTGGAATCCCCTGGGGGTGTGCACATAGGTTTTAGTCCAGATTCTATGTGGATTTCGATGAGGTTTGTTAGTTCTCCATTTTTAAAAATTAATTCTCTATACAAGGAAAAGTAACTCCACATGTATTTTGGAAAAGTATCAAAATTATATGAGTTTTGAAAATATAAAATCCAAGCCTATATTTTACGGGGTGAAGTGAAACTTACTTAGCTTATGCTAATTTTTGTCTACACCCTATTTTGTTGCAAATTATTTTTACAGGTGAACATGGATAAAGGGATTCAAGATGAATTCAAGCTTAGAAGGAACTAAGAATATATCGATTGGAGATTTATTATTTGAGAGGCTCTATGGTTGTATAGCATTATCCTTTATTGTATTATTATAGAAGTTGGATTTGGGTTGAGTTTATTTGATGTTGTAAATTTAGCCTTAGTGTTTGGGTATAGAGAAATACCTGAGCGTGGCGGTAACACCCATTTTTCTTGACCGGTCTCTACCAGCCTGGTTAACAGTTGGGATCGTTCTCAACCCATTCAACTGCCCGTATAGTGGACCTTTGTCCTATATAATATTTATATACCTGACCGGTCTCTACCAACCTGGTTAACAGTTGGGATGGTTCTCAACCCATTCAACTGCCCGTATAGTGGATCTTAGTCCTATATAATATTTATATACCTGACCGGTCTCTACCAGCCTGGTTAACAGCCGGTATGGTTCTCAGCCCACCCAACTACCCGTATAGCCCGATTGATCTCAACCAAGTCGGGGTAACATGCACACATAACACATAGCAAGCACATGCAACCCACATTAACACATTGGGAAGGGGGAGAAAACGTATAACAAAACCTAAGCGTGATCCTTCACATACTAAGAATAGTCCTAAGGGGTTCATACTTCTTTCACCTAGGTCAACAGGATACCAATTCAACTAGCATGCAATATATAAGACCCACACGACCTACGAACGGTACCCGAAAATCAAACTAGACATAGGCACGATAGACGGAGTCCGTTGGGACACCACGGGGGTCGGGGGAACATCAAACGGGGAAGCCAAAATCCCCAATTGGGGTGCAAACCAGTGGGTAGCCGGTGGGTGAGGGTTCACCCGCCGGCTGCCCGCCGGCGGCAGCCATTCCGGGCAGCGGGTGCCCGGCGGGTAGCTGCCCGCCCGCCGGCTGCCCGCTGCCGGCGTTGCCCAAGAAGGCCGCGGGTAGGTGGCGGGTCCCCTACCCCTACCTACCCCCCACTGACTCTTTCCATCAAAAACGCCCCGGGAACCTTTTTGGAACCCGAAACCATGCTTAGACACTTTCAAACGCAATTGATAACACACGTAGACAATTAACGGATCAAAATCAGGAAACAAACGGCACATAACCTATCATGCTTTTCTAAACATAATAAACACCCAATCATGCGAATTCCCACCCAATATACCAAGAATAATTCCATACGATACAACCTAGGGTTCTAATCAATTTTAAATCAACAAGGTCACGATTCATCTTCTAATATCAAGATTCGGTAAGAATATTATATAAACATCAGGAACATCCTACAATCATCAAGAACATCATATAATCATCAAGAACGTCATATAATCATCAAGAACACCATAATTATCAGGAACCTTTCATCATCAAGATCACCCATGGAATTATCCCATCAATCATCAATAATAACACAAATCATTAATACACAATAATATGGGGAAATCCTAAGAGGGGAATCATAGCAATGAAAATAGGTTTTGTTGAGACATGGGTTACCTCATTCGCTTATTACTCCAAAACACCATCAACGGAACCTGTGAATCAAAACGGACTTTTCACTAAATAATCGAGCTATAAATTAATTAAACCCTAAGGTATTCAAACCCTAGATTTCTCCCAACACCAACTATGTCTTACCCAACTAAGCTAACTCACCCATTGTTAACATGAAACCCAAATCAATCATCTACCCACCGTGTAAGTAATATAACCTAGTATTAATCCTACGGGATAACAGTACAATAGGGAGATTGGTACTAGTCGGCAAATTATCACAGTCCCTAACAGCACGTTTGGTTCACAGGATGAATTTGGAGGGAATAGGAATGCTATTCCACATGGAATGGAATAGGTAAGGAATAGAATATGAATTGTATTCTGTTGTTTGGTTGGCTGAAGGAATAGACTTTAGTAATTGTATTCTAGTGTTTGATTGGTTAAAGTAATAAAAATGGAATAGGTTTTAAAGACATAAATACCCTTATACATAATAATAATAATAATAATAATAATAATAATAATAATAATAATAATAATAATAATAATAATGAATATGATTATGATATACTGAATGTTATATATATATATATATATATATATATATATATATATATATATATATATATATATATATATATATATATATATATATATATATATATATATTTATATTTGTGTTTATATACATAAATATGTATGTGTGTGTGAGAGAGAGAATAACAATAACAATAACAATAATAATAATAATAATAATAATAATAATAATAATAATAATAATAATAATAATTATTATTATTATTATTATTATTATTATACAAATACATATTTATTTCATATGTATTTTCTCACTTATCCCACATCGGTTGGAGAAGTAAGGAATGGAGCCTTGATGCTCCTATAAAAGGAGTCTCAAGGCTCCATAATTTCAATTGCAATGCTCATCCGCTAGGCAAGCTTGCAATGCCCATCCGCTAGGCAAGCTTGCAATGCCCATCCGCTAGGCAAGCTTGCAATGC